ATGAAATCACCAAAGCTCGTGGAATTCATTAGTTTAAACCCCTATACCTATGTTTGGGGATGGAATTAAATATAAATACAGGTTATGTTGATGGTTTATAATTGATGTTAGTGACAGTCAACAATCCTGAGCCAACAAGCTTTCCATTTCCTTTTAGGCTCATGCACAGGTGCCTGGCCTCACCTAGGAGCTGGTCCATCGGGTCGGCTGGGGTGACCTGAGCGAGAGGTCAGGACGTGGGTCGCTGGCCCGTCGAGGCACTCGTGAAAGGGTCACTGGGACGGTGACAAGCAGTGCTACGTCGTGGGACATGTATATGCGCCCTCATGTGCGGACTCCATGAGTTGATCATGTCTGGCTACTAGCACGAGTCGGGTCGGGTCACTCGGGAATCTAAGCGGCTCTAGGACGAGGTGCTCGAGCACACTGTTCCGTGGCTCGCTCCATGGGTTAGCTGTGGTTTTCTGGAGCTAACGGCGAGCCTACATGTGTATGTGAACTTGTTTGGGCAGAGAGGTTAAGGTCAAAGTGGATGTGACTGACCGATGTACCGGAAGTTGTCATGGGACTGGTTGCCATTGCTCGGGGTGCGGCGAGCCCTCGATCGTCTAGTCATGGTGGAGTTGTTGTTTGAGGTGATGTGAGCCCCTGAGCGCTTGCTCGCGATGGAGTCGTTGTAGTACCTAGGCGGTGAGCTGATGGGGTTGCTTCTTGACTACTTTGAGAGGTCGTAGCTAGCGTGGATCGGCCTCTCGGGTAGCCTTGGGCCAGTCCGTGCTGGCTTGACGTCTTCGAAAGACTCGCGACCCCTCGGGGATGACTTCTTCGCGTCTGGCCTGTTGTAGTTTCTGGCCGGAAGAGCTCATGCGTTCCGGAGCTTGAGTCCTCCTGGAGCAATGACGTCGTTGCCACCGTGTCTCCGCCTTCGGGCGTAATTTCTACTTTTGATGGAGAGCTATCGTGACCTATCGCTGTGGGAGCTGGCTTTGAGTGCAACGCGGTTCGATCCGCTCATCGCGGCATGCGGTGCACTCAGGGAGCCCGCTTCCTCGGATGCACGCGCCTCCGAGGGACAGCTGACAGTTCATGGAGAGGTATCGCTCGGCTTGTCTATGAACTAGGATTGGATCTTGGTTCTGGGCTTGGCCCTGCGTGGCATGACGCCAAATAGCCACCTGATCACTGGTGATGACACCGCATGGCGGCAGGCAGTTTCGCCGCTCGTGCGTGCCCTGGCTCGTTGCGTCCCACCGACGAAGTAGATGTTGTCCAGGGCATGGCTCTACCATGGAATCTGGTTTTCCCACGTGGTAGGTCTAGACCGGGTAGGAGCCAGTGGCAGGCTTTGACCCATTGGTTTGGGCGATCTTGTGATTCCCCGTAAGAATGTGGCCACCGCGGGCCATTCCTCTGGCGAGCTCACCATGAGCCATAGGCCTCTGGCTTCCTACGTGGATGTCTTGGCCCTAGCTAGTGATGGGAGAGGGTATTATGCCTCCTACGTTGGTGAACTCCGGGATGCAGCCTTCGAGGGTAGTTCCGGGAGTGTGTCCGCCATGAGCCATGGGATCCGAATCTCCGGGGCGGAGGTCCGAACCGCAACTGAAGGCGAAAGCGGGCGCTGGCCCTTTGGTGCAGCTAACCGTGTGGTTTCCCAAAAGGATGTGGCCCGTCGAGGCCATTCCCCGGGTGAGTTCGTTACGAGCCATGGACCTTTGGTTTCCTGGACGGGAGACCTAGCCACATCTGGTGATGAGTGAGGGTACTGGCCCCTCTGGGTAGGTGAACTCTAGGATGCAGCCCTCGAGGGCAGTTTCGAGAGTGTGCCCACCGTGGACCGCGGGATCCAGATCTCTAGGGTGGAGGTCTGAGCCACGGCTGAAGGAGAACGCGGGCGCTGGCCCTTTGACGCCTGGCCCTTTGATGCCGACGAACTCATAGTTTTCACGGCGGATGTGGCCGCCATGGGCCATTCCGTGAGCGAGTCCACCGGCGGTGCGAGGAGCCATTGCTTCCTTCTGAACAAATGAGAGTGCGCGACTGTCACCTACCTAGCACGCCAACTGTCGATGTTTTGTAAATCGGACTAGTGAATTTATACGATTGCTGCGCTACTCTAGGAAGACGATGGTAGCATCCAAAAGACACGAGGATTTATACTGGTTCAGACCAGAGCCCTACATCTAGTCTCAGAGATGATCGAGTGTGTGTTCCTTGCTTAAATGCTCTGAAGTTCTTACAATGGGGGTGCAAGAATGGTTGAAGAGGTAGAAGAACCTATGCTAGATGATTGGATGCTTGAAGGGAAGCACCAGGAGCCCTACTACTAGGAGGAATGAATGAAATGGTAGAGGATTCAGAATGTCTAGAAAGGGTGCCCTGGTTGCCCTTATATATAGTTTGGGGCCAGGGCACATACAAAGCAGGAGGTTCTCCCGATCGAAGGGTCGTGAGCCTGAGGGAGGGCTTAAGCTACCTTGGCTTGCAAGCTACGCCGTCTTGTGCAGCACGTCCGGGCGTGGCTGTCGTCATGGTCTTGTGGCCACGTCGCGGCATGGTGTGGCGTGGTGCTATCGTGTCAACCAAGGTAACACTGTAGGCATGATGGCAGTTCGCCAGCCATCCTGAGCGACATGGTTTCCGCCGTGGTCTTTGTCATCATCTTTTGGCTTCCGGGGTACCATGCGAGAGTTGGCTGCTGCCCTCGGATCGTCGATCACCTCGTTGTCCTGAGGAGCAAGGGGCCACGATCCCGATCGTTGGGGTCGTGGTTCCCGCCAGTCTGGATGGCCTCTAAGTCAAATCCCTCGTCGTGGATCCCATCCCACAGTGGGTGGGATCGTACCCACGTCTTGTCGGGCCGTATCCGGCCGGTGGTCATCGTACCTGTCGTCACCGCCTTGGGCGGTATTGTCTTGTCTGTGCGGCGTGGCATAGGGTTAGCGTCTGACCGGACCGAGGTGATTGTTGTCCCCTCGGCTCTTGTGAGGTCAGTGCAGCGTGCCTGTCCTTATCAAAACAGGCATACTTAGCAGGGCTCGACCTCTTCCCATCCTTTCAGGGGTCGTGACGGAGGAGAGGTCGTGTGTCCTCGGGGCGCCGTGCGGCTAAGGCGGTAGGAAGGGGTCGTGGCTGACCCTGTCCTTAGCGGCTTGGCCTGGTTTGTTCGGCCAGTTGGGTCTCGATCGTTTGGGCTTTCGCTAGCTGGTGTATTGCGGCCGCGTGGCCTGTTAACTAATCGGTGTCTTAAGACATGCTGAGGTTATAACCCCAACACACCTCGTGCCAAGTTGAGGGACTGACCATGAATTTTCCTCTTTTTGGTTTGCTGGATCTTGCTAGGCGTTTGGTTGTCTGGGTCTGAAACTAGCTCCCTCCATGCAAAAGACAGGTCTAGAGCCAGGCCCTCCAGACACGGATTTTATTTGCGATTTTGGCGAGCCAAGCTCGTATGATGCAGCATAGGCTTTTTTTAATAATATAATGCTATTAACATATAACTAATGTGTATTAAGTGATATTTGTGCTTTTAAAGTATACTAAAATATTAAAAGTAAAATAGGGAGTGCTAGAGTGCAATTACACAAATTAAATATTATAAGATCACTTTTTTTTCATATTTGATACGGCTTCGTGCAAGCAATCAAACATCGTCTCTTCTCTGTCAGGCTCTATACATGCAGATATTAACATATAATTAATGTGTATTAAGTGATATTTGTGCTTTTAAAGTATACTAAAATATTAAAAATAAAATAGGGAGTGCTAGAGTGCAATAACACAAATTAAATATTATAAGATCACTTATTTTTCTATTTATTTCATATTCGATGCGGCTTCGTGCAAGCAATCAAGCCATCTCTTCTCCGCCGGGCTCTATACATACAGATAACCAAACAACAGCAGCTTCATTCCCAGATGCGAAGTGTATGTGTGGAGTGACTCTGCCGAGATTTGATTAGACTCGGTTTTTGTACTGTCCTAGTCACAGCTCATAACAACAATACAATGTGGGTAATCGGGCGTGCTAAAAACCATCACGCTTCTCAGCTCATAACAACAAATAGCGTTAGGTTGTCTCGTACCTAGAGGTGCACTTATTTTAGGACCTCGAGTTAGATTGTCTTTTCTACTTTCTCCCTTCCGATAGTCTAATGATTACATCTTTATATGAATATATATGTAATTTCTTATTAGCATTGATCTCTTCACGACTTAGAAATGCATTGAACCGGTGAAGCTAGGAAGCAGCCAAGTCGGAAGCTGACCGTGGTAATTTTTTTTTCTTTTATAGAAAAAATCTACTAATTATTAAATCAGTTGCACGGGCATTTGATGTATATGTGCCGTATGTTTCTAAATTTTATTCTTTTCTTATTTACTAACAACAAGATTTGAAAAATATCAAGGCTACCAGAGAATTTTTTGTTTCTTATTTACTTCTGATATATTGCGGTCATTGGATAATAATAGCTTGAGATCTTCCTGTGATAATCTTGAGGCTGCTCTTAATTAAAAGAGATGGAAAATCAGATATTGATGCTAATAAACTGTATGTGGAGCTGAGGTTTCTTCAAGATTTTATTCCAAAAGAAGATATGGGCCCTGCTGATATTCTAAAGTTCTTGAAGTGACATGACTGTTTTTCCAATGCAACTATTGCATATAGAGTTTTGTTGATCATTTCTGTGACTGTCGCATCAACAGAACGAAGCTTTTCAAAATTAAAGTTATTGAAGAATTATTTGCGCTCTACGATGACGCAAGAAAGACTTATTGATTATAGTACTTGAGGGCGACTTGCTGGACAAGATTGACTGTGAGTCTATTATTGAAGATCTCATTTGGAAGAACACCAAAAGAATGATGTTGTTCAAGTAAATATTATGCAACGAAGGGTTCAATAGGTACTACAATTCATAACTTATCACATTGCAATGTAATAAGTTATTGTTTATATATCATTAATGGTCCTATTTTAGTAGCCTACAAGACCCCTTTTAAACTTTGCACAGGGCCTCGGTTTTGTCCGGGACGGCTCTGACCTGCGGGCCACGTGGCGCAGTGGGCCTGACCGCTTGGTATGCTTTCTCCTGGATGGACTGAAGGTACTTCCGCTGGGCTTCAAGCCTCTTCTGGAGGTGCCTCTGCACCTGCATGTCACGCATGCATGCAAAGTTCACGCTTTTACTTTCGTTGATTGAAGGAAAATGCATGTATGCTGAGTTCATGACCACCACACATATGAGGACAGGAAAGTTGTGCGTCGAGTAAACTTCCCAAAATCCCAACGAACGAACGAACGAACGCACATGCACATGCACATTGATGCATTTATGCAACATGAGCAACGTGCAAGGCCAGAAGAAAGAAACCAAAGCTCTGGTAAGTAAACTTCCTAAAGCATATGCTACTTAGCTTGTAAATGCATGTACCTCTAGTTGTTCTTCCATTATGATCCTTATGGACTCGTTCCTGAATGGTTAACAAGAAAACAGAAGGTATTATCAGAACCTTATGATCTGAAGACTGCACTCACAAGAATTAGAGTAAGTTTCTTTCAAACAAGAATTAGAGTAAGAGTAGGTATTGTGAACAAATCAGCTCACTTATTCATGCTTCTTGCTATCACGCCTGAAGAAGAGGCCACGTTACGTTGCATCTCCACTGCTGAATAATGTGGTTCATTGGACGATATATATGTGTTACTATATATACTTTTGAAAAATACATGTTTATACTAGAATTATCTACCCTGTGAACAACTGAAAATACTGGACACATGATATATACATAAATGACGATCTTTGCTATTAGGTTTGTGTACATGATGAATGAATCTAAAACTACAGAAAGAGATCAGGATGCATAATAGGTTTCAGAACATCATATCAGGATAGCTTAGCTTTAACAAAAGGGTGGAAAAGGCACACATATATAGGTAGACAGAAGAAGGCAAGGATACCAAAACTCATGAACACATACCTCGTCTTTTCAACAGGACAACAAACATCACAGTGGTAAAGATAACCCTAATCCTCTGCAAAGCAGTCTTCTGCCGCTGGTGCAGGGCCACAGTGAAGGTCTCGTATATAGATAACCCAGGGGTGTGTTTCTTTGCTAGCCTTTCCATCAAGCTTGTTTCCCCACAATTTTTCTCTCTCTCTTTCCAGACTGAGGTCGATTTACCTGAGTAAGTTGAAATTACAAATTAGAACTACCAAGCCTTCTAGTACGGAAGACTACTAAACATCATCCTTCAAATCTTAGATGAAAACAGTATAGAATAGGGTTCATCCCTGTATCGAGAAGATTATATGATGAAACCATGTTTGCTGGTGACCATACCCCTTTTATATTGCTGGAATCTGCACTTTCTGGTCTGTGGAGTGCCTTGATAATTTGACTTATTGTTGGCCTTTTGGACCGATCATTTTTCACACAGTCTAGACCAATCTGAATGCATCTTCTTATTTGTTGGTAATCAACTTCTAGTGATACCCCAAATAAAATTTTTATCGCCTTTCTCTGACTCCAGTTATGCAGTACCTGCAAAATCACACAAATTTAAAATATTACCACAGAGGAAAAAGAGTAACACCATCTTCTCTTAAGAAAGCGGCTCTGCTTTGAAAGTTGAAATATAATTTCCTTACCATCTCAATAAATTCCTCGGAAGGTGTTCCAGAATCATCTGGGTAGTCCCTGCGTCCTGTCACTATCTCTATGATTATTACACCCAAACTGAATATGTCTGACTTTGTTGAGACTAGACCTTTGTTTATGTATTTTGGGGACATGTAACCCCTGCATTTCAACATGAGTGCGTCAACCTTGAAGCCATGGGACAACTGTAAAGACAATTCATTTTTAGCTATCCCTGAAAGAATGAACTATCAAGAGCCATTTGACATACAATGTTCCGTCGCGGCTTCTTGTGCAAGTCCAAGTTTTCTCCTCACTGAAGAGTCTTGACAAGCCAAAGTCTGCAATTTTCGGCACCATATTGCTATCGAGCAATATGTTTGCAGGTTTCAGATCCATGTGAACAATAGGGGCACTAATTTGGCATTCCTCGTGGAGATACCGTAAACCGTAACAAATACCCTCAATTATTTTGTAGCGTGTGTCCCAACCAAGTCCAGAAAATTCATCTGCATTTGCAAAGAAGAATTCTGAAAGTGCTTCATCTGCATTTGCAAAGAAGCATTCTGAAAGTGCTATATGAAATGAAAAATGGGCATGCTCTAACCACATTATCTACAGTAGAATGAAAAAAGAAGAACAGGATACACCTCTATTGAATTGTTATACCTGAAAGATGCCCACGAAGGTTTCCTTTAGGCATGTACTCCAAGCAAAGCAACCTTGCTGACTTCTCAGCGCAGACGTATTTTCCGTTGTACTCCACATATATATATTCTCTGTTTCAGAACACCAGGCTATAAGTTGCACTACATTTCGGTGTTTAAGCCTCATAAGATGATTGGCTTCATTATCAAATTGCCTATCCTTAGCTCCTGGTATTGACGAGTTAAATTTCTTCACAGCAATCATTTTCCCATTTTGTAGCACTCCCTGTTTCAACTCTCATGCATGAGTTTGTGCATAGTATGGTGACATTGTTGGAGGTACAGAGTGTTTTTACTCAGTCAGGGATTACACACCCAGGCGACTGCTCTTTCATATATAGGAGATAAGTAGCACATTGATTACATTGATGGCTCATTAGAGCATTAACTAAACAGCTAACTGCCTAGGTACTTGCACAGTCACTTGTGCTGCCCAAGGCCTTAATAGCAGAAACATAATTAAGCACAGATAACTAAGTGATAACGGGAGCAGGACTTAACTTCTACAGTTCTCCCCTAAGACCTGCTTCCCCATCCTTGATCTTCATGATCCCAATCTTGCTTCTCATGTCTTCAAACTTGGCCTTGCCTAAGGCCTTAGTCGAGAATATCTCGCGATTGATCATTTGTGGTGACGAACTCGGTCTTGATGTCTTGCCTTCTTCAACACAATCTCGATGAAGTGTTGTTTGATTCTCGATATGCTTGCTTCTGTCATGAAAGATGGGGTTCTTTGCAAGTGCTATTGCTGATTTGTTATCCACTCGCATGACTCTACTACTTCCACTTTCTTTCCCAACAATTCAGCAAGTAACACGGACAGCCACAGAGCTTGTGTTGCAGCAGTAGTCATGGCAACATACTCGCCTTCACAGCTAGATAAGGCAACCACTCTTTGTTTAATGGATCTGTCAATCTGACCCAGATTGTTGCCTAGGAAGAATAGACAACTCAGTAGTGCTCTTGCTTGAGTCAATATCTCCACCAAGTTCGAGTCACAAGAGCCAATGAATCTGGCTTCACTTTGGATGCCTTGGTGAAGTGCAGGCCATACTCCAGCCTCGCCACATACCGAAGGATACGCTTTATCGCTCTTTGATGCTCTATGGTGGGCCTCTCCAGAAATCTACTCACAAACCCATTGCAAATGCCAAGTCGGTCGAGTATGAACCAAATATCGCAGGCTTCCAACCACCTGCTCAGATCTTGTGTTGGATCAACTTCCTTGGCTGTACTCTTCTTGCTCAATCTTAGCCTTTCCTCCATAGGAGTGGTGATGGGTTGCAGTCCACCATACCACCCAATTCCAAAGTATCCTTTTGGCATAGTGAGTCTGTCTAAGGGTGATGCCATCGGTGCTCATTGCACTTCAATGCCCAGATAGAAGCTTAAGAGCCCGAGGTCACTCATCTCAAATGTTGCTTTCATTTTAGCCTTGAAGCTTTCAACATCCCGCTCTTTGGCCCTCGTGATGATCAAATCATCCACATACACACCGACAAGCAACAGAGAGAGTTTCCAGAACCTCGCCTATAGATTGCAGCTTCATGGTTGCTTTGTCTGAAACCTTTCTTCTTCAATGTTGAATCAAGCTTTGCATTCCATGCTCTTGGTGCTTGCCGTAGGCCATACAGAGCTTTGCGCAAGCGATACACCTTGTCTTCTTGTCCAGCAACAACAAAGCCAGGCGGCTGATGCACATATACCTCCTCGTTGAGGTCTCCATTCAGAAATGCGGACTTGACGTCCATCTGATGAACAGACCAACCCTCCTGTGCCGCCAGAGCCAACAAGACTCGAACGGATTCCATGCGTGCGACAGGGGCGAAAGCATCATCATAATCCACGCCTTCTTGCTGGACAAAGCCACGAGCGACAAGTCTGGCTTTGTGTTTGATAACATTACCGTGTTCGTCCTTCTTCAATTTGAACACCCACTTCAGGGTGATTGGACGGTGACCAGCAGGAGGCTTCACAAGCTCCCAGGTCTTGTTTCTCTCTACTGATCGCAGCTCTTCTTTCATTGCTGCGCACCACGCTGGATCTCTCTTGGCTTCAGTATGCGAAGTTGGTTCGCCAGAGTGCGTTAGATGCAGCTCTGCGAACAGGCGAGTTGCAGGTGGCGGTGTGGGCTGCTGGCCAATGATATTGCTGACAGTTCTGTAGCGAAGTGGTTCATCCTCGTGATAAGCATCCAGTCGATCATCATCATCCTCCAGAGGCGTGGCATGCTCAATCTGAGGACTTGGTGGCGGTGGTGACACTTCCAGTGCCGCTGGAGCAGAATTAGCTTGAGGATGAGTTGATGCGGAGCCCTCTGCTCCTTCAACTCCAATTGGGCTGTTTGGTGCGGGTGTTCTTGGTGAATCCGGGAGCAGAGGCGACGACGGCGGCGCTGGTTCGCTCGCCTCCTCTGACCAGACATACTCAACTGTGAATTCACTGCTGTTCACAGCTGATGGCCCAGATTCCGGCGAGGACCAATCCCAGCCATGTTCTTCATCAAATACAACATCACGGCTGATCCTGACACGCCCGCTCACAGGCTCAAACACCCTATATGCCTTAGCTCCTTCTGCATAACCAATAAACACGCCGGCCTCGCCGCGGTCATCAAGTTTGCGCAGCTGACTGAGCTTCCTTGTGTATGCCACACACCCAAACACTTTCATGTGTCCCAGAGTTGGTGAACGTCCATGCCAGGCCTCATATGGGGTGATCCCCTTCAACGCACGTGTCGGTGATCGGTTCAAGATGTGGATCGCTTTGTCATCACTGACCTCCCCAAAACCGAAAGTGGCAGGCCCTCTCGCTAAGCAAAGTGCCCTTGCCATGGCCACTACTTGATCGACTGATTGCGCCGTTCAACTACCCCATTCTGCTGAGGTGAGTGAGGAGCACTGAAGTGCCTCTTAATGCCTTGTTTCGCGCAAGAGGTAACGTAAATCAAGAATCGTGAATTCTCCTCCATTATCGGTGCGAAGCACCCTGATTTTCTGACCACTCTCCGCCTCTGCGCTCAGTTTGATGCGCTTGATGGCTTCTGCTGCTGCATCCTTGCTTGGTATGAGCGCTGCCCACATGAAACGGCTAGCGTCATCGACGAGCAGCAGGAAATATCGATTCCCTCCAGGTGTTGCAGGTGTCACTGGTCCGCAAAGATCGCCGTGCACCAGCTCAAGGGGCTGTTTGGCACGGTACTGTGTTGCAGCTGGGAACGGGCGCCTTCTCATTTTGGTGGTGACACAGGTGTCACACACCTGCTCCACATGGTCAATAACCGGGACACCGCGCGCCATTTCCTCCTTCCCAAGTCTGCGGAGTGCATCAAAATTCAAATGCCCCATCCTCTCATGCCACTGCCACGCTACATCTCCTCTGCATGCTGCAAGACAAAGTGGCTGGGCTGCATGAAGTTGGAGTGTGTACAATCTGTTAGCCCCTCTCTTCACCTTGGCAATCAAACGGCCAGTGTGTTCCCAGATACGTAACACGTCGTGATATATCTCCACCTTGGAGCCAGTCTCGTCAAGCTGACCCAGACTGATAATGGAATTCTTCAGGGCTGGTATATAGTACACACCCTGCAGCACCCTATGCTCACCAGTTCTTCCTTCGAAAGCAATCGAACCGATGCCTTTGATGTCAACCTTGGACGCATCTCCAAATCGGACCGTGCCTCGCACGTCCGTGTTCAAGTCAGAAAAGAGCTCACGCCGTCCAGTCATATGGTGTGTAGCTCCTGAATCAAGGTACCACACATCTGCCTTTTCTTCATCGCCATTGGCACCAAGGAAGGCGCGGGCTTTTGGTTCTTCCAGATTCACCTCTTGAGCAGCATAGGTGTATGCCGGCGTGCACTTATCAAGATCAACGAGCCCATGCGCCAGAAACAGAGCCCCATCATCCTCGCATTCTGCATACTGCACACGGCCATTGTGGCCGCCGTCACCGCCGCCTGCGCCCCCTCGGCCACCAGCGTGCTGGCCTTGATTGCCACCGCGGCCGCCGCCACGACGGCCTCTGCCCCGTCCGCCGCCGCGGTCACCGCCACCATCACGGTCACCATCTCTGTCTTGCCGTGGATGAGGGCAGTCTCTTGCCCAGTGGCCCTCCTGGCCACAATTGTGGCAGGTATCGCCACAGCGTCCACCATCGCGGCCGCCGCCACGGCCCTTTCCTCGCCAGCCGCCGCGACCGCGGCCACCACCGCCGCCTTGGCCGCCGCCGCGCTGATTCTTTGAACTAGAGCCAGCAGAATCATCCCCGCCGCCCTTCTTCTCCTTCTTCCAGCGTGCGCGCCATTGCTCCTCAGTATACATGAGCTTGCCGCCGACGGTGATTGGCTCGGTAGGCGCTTGCTCTTCACGGTCATCAACAGCCTTGAGCCTCCCAGTGGCTTCCTCAAGCGTGAGCATGTCAAAGTCCAGAAACTGCTCAATAGCAACCACAATCTGCGCATACTTCGACGGTACTGTACGCAGATACTTCTCCACCACACGCCTCTCATCGATGTCCTGATCACCATGAAGGACAAGCTGTCGATGCAGAGTTGAGAGGCGGAAGGCAAAATCTTCGACGCTCTCTCCTGACTTGACACTGATGTTCTCCCAGTCGCGGCGGATGCGTTGCAGCGTCGCGCGGCGGACCCTGTCCACGCCGATGCGCGCAGCAGCTATGGCGTCCCACGCCTCCTTCGCGTCCGCTTGTCGATGAGCGGAATCCCCATCTCCTTGGGAACCGCTGCGACAATCGCCTCCATAGCCCGCCGGTCGTCGCGGAACGAGACCCGCTCTCCTTCAACTGCGTCCCACAGATCGCGGGCCTGCATTCGCAGTTTCATCTCTTGGCTCCATTCGTGGTAGTTCGTTTTGGACAGCATCGGCCAGTTCGTGCCGCTGCCCGAGTCCCTGTATACGACCCTGTCGTACACAGGCGACTCCCGACGCCCGCCACCGCGGCCACGCCTGCGGACTGGCGGAGATGGAGACCTCCGGCGCGGGCTCTTGACCTCCTCCTCTCCTTCTTCATACTCCAGCTCCTCTTCTTCCTTCTCTGCTGCAATCTCCTCCCTCAGCACCCGCGCGGTCCTTGCCGCCTCCTCTGCAGCCGCCGCCGCCTGCCGCGCCGCCTGGACCGCCTGCGCAGCTGCCTCCTCTGCAGCTTTTAAGCGCGCGGCCCGGCCAGAGGAGTCCTCCGCATCGCTGACGCCCTTGGCAGCCTTCCTTCGGCGCTCAGAAGATGTCGAGGCCATGGATGAGAAAGCAGGGAAGGGGGCTCGAGTAGAAGATGAGAGAGAGGTGTCTAACCTAGGCTCTGGTACCAATTGTTGGAGGTACAGAGTGTTTTTACTCAGTCAGGGATGACACACCCAGGCGACTGCTCTTTCATATATAGGAGATAAGTAGCACATTGATTACATTGATGGCTCATTAGAGCATTAACTAAACAGCTAACTGCCTGGGTACTTGCACAGTCACTTGTGCTGCCCAAGGCCTTAATAGCAGAAACATAATTAAGCACAGATAACTAAGTGATAACTGGGAGCAGGACTTAACTTCTACAGACATATGTTTGTCAAGTTCAAATATGTGATTCAATCTTACCTTATATACCGTGCCAAAACCACCTTGACCAAGTAGTCGCTCATCAGAGAAGTTGTTTGTGATGTTTCTCAAATATTTTAGTGGTGGATTGTGTGGTTCTGAACTTCCATCTTGTAACATGCTCTCCAGCTTATCATCATATCTGCTAGACTCACCATCCATTTTCTTCTAAGCAAAATCCTGACTCCAAAGCATTTTCACATGATAGCCAGCATATTTGTCTTCCCCAGCATGCAGGGTACCTTCAGTGAGTCAGGTTGCTGTTTCTGTGAAAAAAATTTCACCGAACCAAGATAGCTGTATGAAAGAAGAAATAAGTTGTGTCAAGGTAAGCGAACTAACCACAAAGACAATTTGTCAGGTTTGTTGAATTCACCATGAGAAATAGTTTTTTTTTTAAAGTATGCAGGCACCGAATTGCATCTCTTCTACATGAAACTGCTCAACTTCGCAACAGTACAGTGGAATAAGCTCCAAGTTGACTCTTCTTCAATATCTCCAAAATAATAAATCAATCATCTAGAAATACTTAAGGGCAAAATGTGAGGTGCAGCACTCTGCTATTGTTACTCCTCTTTGATTCCTTGCACTAAACTTTGGCGTGTATCTGAAATATATGTTTGTCCGCACCAAATAATTTGGTACTTTAATCTGTTAGGATCGGGATTAGTACCTCTGTGTGACCCGTAGATCCGGGTAGACTCCTCGCCTTCTCAGTAGATGCACCGTAGCCGGTGCCGCGGTGTAGAAGACGTCCAGCGCCAGCGAGATGAGGTCCAGTGACGCCGGCGGTGTCCTGCAGGGGCGAGGCAGAGGCGGCAGGCTCATCCCGTCGCTGGCAGCGGCTCTTTGGATCGGTTTAGGGTTCTCTGTCGGTGGGAAAGGCGGCTCCGTTGAACCTCGTTTCGAGCTCGATCCCCACCTTCTCTATTTGTATGTGCTGTGCGACAGGGGTCCACCAACCAGTTAGGGTTGGGCTCCCCCGATCAGGGAGCAGAGCCAAGGGCCCAATAGACCGTTGGGCCTATTGGTGGAGATCAACTAACATAATCTAGAAATCCAAGAAAGGTGCTGAAAGAAACTATAACAACAGCCCAACTCTATCTGAGACAACTACTTTTTTTAGAGTACAAGCCAACCAGTTTTTGGATCTGAGTAGCGTACAGACTTCAGAGCATGGACAGGCGGAGACATGAAGTACTGCTTTAAGGTCCAAAATCATTTTCTCAAGCAACATGCTAAAACACTCAGAAAGCATCAGGAATTTACAATATTGGCCCCTGGCCATAAACACGAAGTTTCAGAAATATTAGATCAAATTCATATGCCATGCAAAAATTGGCATGATTTTAATACAAACTATATAATTCATATACATCACAATTGCATACAACAAGAAGCAACATATATGTCACAAGTTATAGCGCACACTTGATATATGTAAAGGGTAAAGGGTAACTAGTATAAACAGTCCTAAGTATTACATCTAATCTAAATGCAGAGTCCTAAATAGCAGCTAGGATTGGGCCGTCCGTCGTGGCTCGTGGGGAAGAATCGACTATGGAGGAAGCAGAAAAGGAGAGAGATGAGTGCAGGAGCACGGGGGAGGGAAGATCGCGAATAATGGATCAGGGTGCTCACGTCGTGCGGTCGTGGTCGTGGACAATCGCCGCGGTGTTTGACCGGAGTGGAGGGAGAAGGTGAGAAGGGGGAGGGGAGGGAGAAGCTGAGAAGGCCAGAAGGTGAAGGGCTAGGAGAAGGTGGAGTACAACGCGGCGATGTGTAAAGAACATTCCGTCGCACGATAGTGGGGGGGCCAAAGCTCCACTGAGGGCTACTTCGGCAGCAAGGGATCCCGGAGGGTTTCCCGCGACTTCCTAAGGCTGAGAAACCACGCGATGACTTTCCCTATGCCAATCTGTCGTGCTTTTGGAAGCACGTCCACACGGGGACAGAAGCCCGTTTCCCTTTGTTTTCCACGCGGAAGAAATCCACGCGTCATGAGGTCGGGAGCGCTTCCCCTTCCCTGACCCCGTGGCTCGCGCAACGACTTGCGAGGCGGCGGCCGCCGCCACCACCATCGCCATCACCCCCAGCAGCTCATGGCCGGAGCATCGCTCCTGGCGTGCATCTCCCGGTGCCCGGCGATGCATCTCTCGCGAATCGCGACCGTGTCACTGCCGCCGCAAGATCCACATCTCGGAGCAGCACCTCCACCTCAGCCTCATCCTCCTAGCACGACAAAATCTCGTAGGTCTTGGGGCCGCCGAGCTGCCGCATCCTCCTCCATACTCCAGCGTCCGGGGAGAAGCGTCGTGCCATTGAGCCTATCTCCATACCTCATTCAACCGAAGCGTGGTGAGCATGCACCCTATCATTCTTGTTTGGTGGCTGTGAAAAAGATTGGGATATCTAGTACCTCATGGCTTTGTATTCTTGCTTGATTTACTTGTGATATTGTTCGGTGATTTTTGCGAAATCTGTGATTCATGTCTACCCGATTAGAAAGATTACCCTGGTGAATTTTATTCATGCTCATAAGTATTCAGGTTGGGTATTGCAAAAAAAATTATTCTTGTGTCTAGCCGATTCAGCAAGCAATTAGTTTATGTTCTATCGAAATTTATTCATTGCTTACAAGTTGGCCCTTGCTGTTTTTGTGATTAAGCATGTAGCATTTTCTGGTTCATATATATGTGAAAAGGCTGGCATTATCTTATTGGCTTTTCGTTTCCTTGGTTTTCGTAGGAAGGGGCTAAGAAGAATTTCCTGCTACTGCTTCAGTTTTCATTTCCAGAAAACAACATGATCTATCAATTAGTAAGCTGGTCCATTCCTTTTAGCCCCTTCTTGCTTTATGAATCTTACTATTTCATTTTAGATTGTTTTTGAATTTAAGCGAATTTAGCCCCTTCAATTTCTCCATAGCAATCTCATCCATTTGTCATTGGTGTTTCCAGCAGTTTATACAAAGCCAATGTTCACAGCCTTTCATTATGGCATTGACATCACCACCCAGAAAACCTTTACCTTAATGTTGAATTTTTAAGGAGTCCATTATGTGCATATCCTTGCAGATTGCGCATTAGTCCGTCACCATTAGTATAGCATTATTTAATTGAACTCTATGGATTGATCAATTTTTCTAGACTGTGACAGTTTAGGCATCAAACTGTTAACTGATCAATTTTTCCCTTTTGGGCAATACTTGCTCTATCGATTGGCTGTCAGTTACTAGTCATCAATGTGTTTGGCTTGATATTTCTAGAGACTTGGTTGTTCAAAAATTATTTTTTAATCATTTTCTATATATGGTAGACCATCATGATTGGTTTATTGCCTTGTAGTGTACATCATATGTATATAGCACAACTGTTGACGATCACCAATAGAAGGATCAAGGATGCTGACTAAACTTAAATTCAGTTGTAAGTTTTGCTTTTTAATAGCAATCTTCAGTCTTTAGTTTCTTCTAGTAATCATCACTTTTGAATCAGGTAGCAGAATAGAAGAGATGCATGTGAAAAGAGAGTACATTGATAATAAAGGGACCACAGTTTTGCTTGGGTAAGATTCTGATAAGATAACAGTGATGTGAAGAGTCATGTATTCCTGATTTTTGTTAGCATCTTTATGTTTTTTTTTGCTTTCCAAAGCCTGTTTAATTTGCGCTTTATCATGAGTCCATGACCTGCAAGACATATGTTTCTATTTTTTTTTCTTGTGATGATGCTTTCATCGATCTGGGGAATATCTCATTGGTATATGATGTTAGTATGGTTTCTTGTTTTGTTTACACATGCTTTGTCCAGCGGGTCTGACGTGATAGATTATGCATGACAAATTAATGATTATTTCACTAACAATTTTTTTGGTTCGCAACAGCCAACAGGGAGCACCAGAAGGTCGGCAACATCTTGGTATTTGAAACTGGAGGTCAACCTAAAAGCTAAAGACACGTGCAATTGTTGAAAATAACTTGCAAATTTATTCATAAGTTATTAAAGTTTGTGCTGCCTTCTTAAGTTAGCATTAGAACTAAATTAGGAACTAAGTTGTATTTATTCGGCTGAGATGTTATTCATCAGTTCATCTGGAGCTACTCTCTGTCCATGAATAAATCAATTCCTAGAGTTGTCTTTAAGTAATTTTTTTAAATTTGATCAAATTTATATAAAAGAGTGTTAAGAATTATGACACTGAATTAGTATTATTAGTTACACTATGAAATATATTTTTATAATGTGCTCGTTTTGTTTTATAATTTTTTCTATAAATTCAGTCAAATATTAAAAAATTTAACTTAAGACAATTCTAGGAATTGATGTATTCAGGATGGGGGAGTATTTTTAATAGTTATATGGACATTTTAATGCATTACTAATCGGCTATATCAAAGGAAGACTAGGACATATATTGTTAGAGTACGTCATGAGCCTATTGGGCCTGGGCTAGCGGTATAGCTCGATAGTGTTAGGGTTAATTAGAGATAAGGGTCGCTTGCTTAAGGATCAAGTAAGCCTTGCTTGGAAGTCAAATAAACCTCTCTATATAAGGAGAGGAGATGTATTAATCTAATCAAGCAAGAATTAAGAAGAAAATTCCTTCCCTCTTGCTCGGCCGCGGGCGACCCTTATCTCTAATTAAC